CACAGATGCTGCTGCCTCCGCTGAATTGAATTGGATGCATAGCCATGGTACAGCGAGAGAAAGAGAAAATGTCTCTTAGATCTAAATGCAAAGGCTTGCTGATGTCAGAGGAAAGGGTAGACTCCGACTGACTTTCAAAGGCTTGGAATCAGGCACTTTAGTGTTGCTTTTCATCCCCCAGGGATCTGATGCTTGGAATCCTTAATTCCTCTAACTTATGGAAATAATTTTTATGACAAGTCGGTATGCAATGTCAGGTACACAGTTTTTGAACCCGTGGCCCTCCATTTCCTTTAGGAATAAACTTTCCACTGACACAGCCTGGGTAATTAGAATGCTTTTTTCCCTGGTGTGGTATTAGGTTTCTCTCTGCTGCGCTCTCTCCCTCTCATCTCCGCCTACTGGATTTAATGTATTTCCAGGTCAGTTCCCAAATAGCTTCGGCTCTTTCTACTCCACTTCTTTGGGAAATTCAGCAAATACGACACAGTCATCTTGCTTGTTGCTGTGTTATAACTTCCTCAGTCAGTTGCTTGTGTATGAAAGACAAATAGGAAGTGGATGCTTCACTTTCATGCTCAGATCACATCTCAAAAATCATTTTGGCTTTAGAAGTACCTTTTCATTCACACACGGAGGAAGCAAGGGAGTGGAGGCAAGCAGACTCTCTCCTGCCTCACGTGCTTTTCAAGGCATGGAGACTTCTGTCAAGAGTTAGGTACCACAATGTTTCCAAACCTGTTCTGCAAAGCCTCCCATTGTATTCTGGAGGCTGCAGATATATTTCCTTGTGTGTGTTTTAGCAGCTGTCCAACCTTTTGTAAGGAACTCCCCTTCTGCCTTTTGATGTTCTGCTGAAGCTGTCAGTTCAACTCCTTATCTTTAATCAGCAATTAGGGGAGATTAAAGGAGTTGGTTGAAAATGACAACAGAAAACAAGCAAATAAACAACAAAAAAGGTGGGTGATGGATGGGGAAAACAAAGACTCAAAAGATGAAGGTCATCACAGCAAGGCGGAGCAAGAGTAATCAATGATTTCTGGCTCTAGAGTGATGCAAGTCAAACTCCATCAGGCAGACTGATGGCCATCACTCAGGCACCACCTTCTCATGCCAGGCAATGTCACCCTGTATCTAATTCCACCTTTGGGGCTGGGTTGGAACAAGCTGACCACAGAGACAGCAGCCACTGAAGCAGGAGAGGCAACTACAAATGGGGGCTCCTTCAAGAGTTATTTTCCCACACTAACCAGAATACCTGTGCTGGGAAAGGCATATTTGCCCTTATTTCTGACTAGCTGTGTCAACGTAGGTTTTGCTCACTATGAGACATTCAGGGGCAACATTATAGGGCTCAGTTGGGCACACACACAAAAGCCATGGATGACAAGTGTTTCACTGCATGGCTTAAAGGTCTATGGTAGCAAAGCAAATGGGAGCAAAGCAGTGCGATTTCAGAGGGCATGTTGTAGTTACCATGACTGTACTTTTAGTACCCAGATGTGCTGCTAAAAACAACCACAATTTGATTGAAAATACTAGGAACTGGAAGCCACCACAGACCACCCACCCTAAATGGCACCTTTGATCACAAATAAACTATTCAGGCGTTACAGTTTATATCCTTGTGGATTTTTTCCCAGAATTTACCCATCTATCAGGTGGCCTGAGAGACACCTCTGCCTCATCTCAAGCCCCTCCAGTGTGGCTGATGGAGCGTTTGAATTGCTCTGCCCAGTTTGCATCTTACTGACTCAGAGCCAGGCATTCCCTCATCAGTCCTGGGGAAATACCCAAGAAGCTCACCAAAAAGGGTAGCATTCATGATAACACCACCGATAGGCCCATCACTGGTTCCCAAGGGCACCTAATTTGTTCTTGCCCATGATTATTTCTCCTCAAGAACTTCCTTCCCAATGCTCATTGGTGTTCACATCCACATCAGAGTAAGTAACATGGGAAGAATCTCAGAAATGGTCTTCATGAATACAACTATTTTTGACCTTTATGCTCTCATTGATATACAGTAAATGCCCATTGGCTATTAATTCCTATGAGAGGTCTTTTAACTGAGCCCACACCACAGGAGTTCTTTTGCAGTATCCACAGGGGCACACCAGCAAAAGTTTCCATGGCAAGAGGAAACCACATACCATCAGTAATAAGGAAAGTGGACTAGAGATGAGCAATTTCGCCGCTAATTGTCAGCACTTCTGGCTTTATTAAAGTGTTAGTAATATCTCTCTCTCTCGTTTAGTCATTAGTGCTAATATTTATGAAGAGAGAAGACATCTGTGTGGTTTACATATCCAGCATAAAACTGCTGGCGATTACAGGGGACTAAAATGAGGAAATTTGGCTGCTCGTCTCTGTCTCAGTTCACCACTGCCTTTAAAGATGCTGAAACACCCCCTGAACAAACTAGCAATAGCTCCACTGGGTTTCAGAAAAATGCATTTCACAGCCCTCCGTGGAGATGCTACCGAACCTAGGACTTTCTCCAAGCAAAACATCTTACCTTTCACTTGTCTACCTCCACTCCACACCCTGCACCCTGCAGTCACATGTACAAATTTTACTGAAAATTTACTCGTCCTTCATCACACAATACTTACTTGGGTTTGCTTGTTGTGGAAAGGCTTCCCCCTTTTATTCACCTGGTATTTTAAATACAACCACACTGCAGTACAGAGAAAACAGAGTTTTAATATGCCATATGTCACTGTTCATCCTGGAGAGTGAAGTCAAATGGGCCTTAGAAAGCACTGCAAATAACAAGGCCAGTGGAAGTGATGGTATTCCAGCTGAACTATTTAAAATTTTAAAAGATGATGCTGTTAAGGTGCTACACTCAATATGCCAGCAAGTTTGGGAAAGTCAGCAGTGGCCAGAGGATTGGAGAAGATCAGTCTACATCCCAATCCCAAAGAAGGGCAGTGCCAAAGAATGTTCCAACTACCACACAATTGCACTCATTTCACACGCTAGCAAGGTTATGCTTAAAATTCTACAAGGAAGGCTCAAGCAGTATGTGGACTGAGAACTCCCAGAAGTGCAAGCTGGATTTAGAAGAGGCAGAGGAACCAGAGACCAAATTGCAAACATGCGCTGGATTATGGAGAAAGCTAGAGATTTCCAGAAAGACATCTACTTCTGGTTCATTGACTATGCGAAAGCCTTTGACTGTGTCGACCACAGCAAACTATGGCAAGTTCTTAAAGAAATGGGAGTCCTGATCACCTCATCTGTCTCCTGAGAAATCTCTATGTGAGACAAGAAGCTACAGTTAGAACTGGATATGGAACAACTGATTGGTTCAAAATTGGGAAAGGAGTACGACAAGGCTGTATATTGTCTCCCTGCTTATTTAACTTATATGCATCATGCGAAAGGCTGGGCTGGATGAATCCAAAGCCGGAATTAAGATTGCCGGAAGAAATATCAACAACCTCAGATATGCAGATGACACAACCTTGATGGCAGAAAGTGAGGAGGAATTAAAGAACCTTTTATTGAGGGTGAAAGAGGAGAGCACAAAATATGGTCTGAAGCTCAACATCAAAAAAACGAAGATCATGGCCACTGGGCCCATCACCTCTTGGCAAATAGAAGGGGAAGAAATGGAGGCAGTGAGAGATTTTACTTTCTTGGGCTCCATGATCACTGCAGATGGTGACAGCAGTCACGAAATTAAAAGACGCCTGCTCCTTGGAAGAAAGGCGATGGCAAACCTAGACAGCATCTTAAAAAGCAGAGACATCACCTTGCCAACAAAGGTCTGTATAGTGAAAGCCATGGTTTTCCCAGTAGTGATGTATGGAAGTGAGAGCTGGACCATAAAGAAGGCTGATCGCCGAAGAATTGATGCTTTTGAATTATGGTGCTGGAGGAGACTCTTGAGAGTCCCATGGACTGCAAGAAGATCAAACGTATCCATTCTTAAGGAAATCAGCCCTGAGTGCTCACTGGAAGGACAGATCGTGAAGCTGAGGCTCCAATACTTCGGCCACCTCATGAGAAGATAAGACTCCCTGGAAAAGACCCTAATGTTGGGAAAGATGGAGGGCACAAGGAGAAGGGGACGACAGAGGATGAGATGGTTGGATGGTGTTCTTGAAGCTACCAGCATGAGTTTGATCAAACTGCGGGAGGCAGTGGAGGACAGAAGTGCCTGGCGTGCTCTGGTCCATGGGGTCACGAAGAGTCGGACACGACTAAACGACTAAACAACAACAACAATGTCATGGTTTGCTCATGAAAAGACCTTCCATGTTTTCTTCTGCTATTTTCACTATAAACTCAGGGGCACATATGAAAGCCTACTGTGAGTCATATTTTGAGAATCTCTATTTTTTTGTTAAGGTTTCTGTATCATGTTAAAAACAACGAGCAAAGAGGCAATTAAACATTTCAGTCGCTGGGAATGGAGGCAAAGCAGTGATTAGAATTATTATTATTTTGGCTGGTTTTAGGAATCTGAAATGCAAATCAGTTTCATTTATAATTTTTGCCTATCAAAAGTTCCTCAAAATAAATAGATAAATAAAAAAATACATGCTGCCTGGGTTTGCCTTGCTGTTGAATCTATTAACCCAGTTGGTGGAATAATTGCAAGGTACTTTGGCTTAATTACAGCACAGCAATGCGGTGCAGTTAAATATCCATATAATTTTATATTACTGCCCTCAAGGCCTCTTCATGGAATCAAACTTACTTTTTGTTTTAAAAAAAGAAAAAAAATCAATTTGAAGCTGCTCAGGAAGTGGTGGGAAATGACTTTACTCTAGTTACTTCCATATTGTCCATCAGCTTTATTCTCATTTCTGAAGATTAATGTAAATTGCCTAAGAAAAAAATCTTCCTAGTTAATTACGCTTTAGGGAACTTTGTTCTTTTCTCCAAATTCTATTTCAGGCCCTCGTCTTATCCTTTCATAAGCCACGGTTGTTCATTAGGAAATTGCAGGCGGTGTTATCTTCCAGCAAACCTTTCTCCTCCTCTTATGGCTCCCTAGGCATCAACTTTTTGCATTGCACAGCTCTGTAGGAAGCAGACAGGTCCAATATGTTCTCTTTTAAAAAATGAAAATGAGGACTCGGCTATACAACTGCAAATAAAACGTTTTAAATATAAATGTGACACTAGATGGTGACAATGAGCTATGCAAATTTCAATGTCTTTTTCAAAACATTTTTTTAAAAAAAATAATATCATTTTCACAGCGTTTTTTATATGCATGTCGATTCCACATAACTTGCCTGAACCATTACCACCTCCCTTGCACTTGTGGAAAATCTAAATATGATTAATATGATACCCATCACCCAAGTACCTATCACCATGATTGTTTAAGCAACATTTAGGCTGTGGTTCTCCAACCCTGCAATCCTAAACCCATTTACTAGAAAGAAAATCCCATTGAATTCATGGCTTCTCCACCCTTCCCCTTGTCCCATGCCTAGAAAGCACAGATCTGAGATGTTTTCCGCTTGTTCTGTGCTTTCTGGACATGGGTGTGAATGGTTTTGCAACCCGCTCTGCCGTTCTTGCCGTACCACTTTCTAAGCACTAGCGGCAAGAGTAATGTTTAACAATGAAGTTAAATCATAGCATTGAAAATGGTTGCATGGTCCCATTTTATCTAAAGCGAAAGGCAGCCTAATTCCTTTGGACTTCTCCAAAGGGGCCAATGGCTCAGGGATAGAGGACCTTCTTTGCATGTAGTTGTTCCCTAGCATCCCCAGTTGAAAGGACCAGGCGGAAGATAAAGTGAAAGACCTCTCTGCCTGAGAAGCTGGAGAACCAGTACCTGGCAGAATAGGTTAGATGTGCAAATGCACTGAGGTGTAAGGCAGCTAAGCTAACTTCCAGTGCAACAGCCCATAAGATGCTGCATAAGGATTCAATGCCCAGGGATTTCTTACCTCCTCAAACTAGACTGCTCCTGGCCATGTAGAAGCTCCCTCTGCTGTCTCCATGTGGCAATGGGGCATCTTTGTAAGGCATCTTTGGCTGTGATATGATTACAAAAAGCCCTTATGCAATTATTTAAGCAAAGGCAATCCCATCTCGGACCCCTAAGAAAGAGGTCAATCATCAAAACCCAATCTGGTGCAAAACTGATTGGTTCTTCAAACGAGAATGAAGAATGCAAATGGCATTGTAGCCCTGTGGTTGATCCAGCCCTGCGGTTTTCCCAGGTGGAGGGAAACTACATCCTTAGTGCAACATGAAGTAGCTAGTGCTAGTGAACTGTCTCATAGTGTCTGGAGCCCTGTCAGATGAATCTGCTTTTCAGCTGTAAATCACTTTGAGATCCCTCATTGGAAGTGAGGCATATATGAAATGAATTCTTATCACCACCACCACCGGGATCATTGAGGCTGAATGGACAAATGAGCTGGATCTCCCACATAGAAACTTGGCACATTACCTCTCCACGCACAAAACCCAATAAAAGAGATCACATATAACCAACATTATGTCTTTTAAATTATCAAGGGCTGTCCTGGATTTGTTGGCCTCTAAAACTAAAAACCAGGTGTGCCTGAGAATCTGGATGAGGCTAATGGACTCGACTTTCCAGTTTTGCACAGGGTCTGTGATGGACCTGTAAAATGGGTAATAAACAGCCTTTCCTGTAAATGCATCTTACAGTTATAAACCAGGCACCTACTTCCAGGCATAGGTAAAGCACTTGACATGTGCTGCAAAGATATTCTATACGCAGGAAGGCGCACACTGCAGCTATTCAGCAATAGAGCTTCATCCTTTTCTGTTCTGCAGCCCTTCCTGGAGCAATTTGACAAGTTCAAAGAGTGTGAAGGAGCTCTGCATCCTGGGCTGGAGCCTAACAAATGATCGGGCTTGAACTCTCAAACAGTAAGTAGCATTGAAGGATTACTTTCCCATTGATGCAGATCCCAAGTGGACATTTTGCAGTGGCTTGAAAGGGAATAAATAATGAGGGGTGACTGATCATAAAGTGCAAGGCACTTTATTTCCGGTGGCTCCTTCCTATTAATTTGCTGCCACACACCTGTGCGAGGAAGCAACCTTGGAGCAGATGGCTGATCAGCCTAGTGAAGGGTGAGTGTCAGAGAAACAACACACGCTCAATCTCTAGGGGAACAGTGCTCTGAAAAACGCCCAGTCTTCAGGATTGGAAGATCCTCTGAGCAGAAGTGCAGCCAGGTCATTTTAGACCAGCCTTCGTGAAGTTGGTACCCTTCAACTGTTTCAAGAGAAACTACCCAATAGTATGACATGACAATATTCCACTTCAGGAATTGGAGGGCCATTTTTCACTGGAGGTATTTAAGAAGAGGGTTGATGGCCATCTATCAGGGTTGCTGTTGGAGCAAGATTCCTACGTTGAACAGGTTAGGCTAAGTGATTTCCAAAGTCCCTTCCAACTCTACAATCCCTTGGTTCTATGAATATGTGCCATCAAAAGATCTGAAAAGCAATTCCTTTCTCAATAATTCTAGTCCATCCTGATAAATGCTGAAATTTAATTGTCACTTAGAGGGGGAGAGGTGAAACTGGATCATTCGTAGAAGGCACAATGTTTCCTGAGTTGAGTAGTGGATTGTTGGGCATGGTGGTGTGTCACAAGCTTTCCCAAACCTATTATCTGAGATTCTTTACCTGAACACAAGGGACATGGGTGGCCCTGTGATCTAAACCACTGAGCCTCTTGGGCTGCTGATCAGAAGGTTGCGGTTCGAATCCCCGCAACAGGGTGAGCTCCCCTTGCTCTGTCCCAGCTTCTGCCAACCTAGCAATTCGAAAGCACACCAGTGCAAGTAGATAAATAGGTACCGCTGTGGCAGGAAGGTAAACGGCATTTCTGTGCACTCTGGTTTCTGTCACGGTGTTCCGTTGTGCCAGAAGCAGTTTCATGCTACCCACATGACCCGGAAAGCTGTCTGTGGATAAATGCCGGCTCCCTCAGCCTGAAAGCAAGATGAACGCTGCAACCCCATAGTCGCCTTTGACTAGACTTAACCATCCAGGGGTCCTTTACCTTTACCTGAACACACTGGATATCTAATCTGGGGTCTTGTATACGTAACAGATTTGCTCTGCCACTGACCTACAGCCATGCCAATATAAAAATAATATTTTGCTATGACAACCCCATAGCCAGCTGAGGGTTGTACCGCCTTCAGAAGATAAGCTCCAGCAGAGTTGTCCAAGGGGAATTTCCAATACTGTTCTTCGCAATTCAGAGGTTCTAAAATAGTGTTCCTGATTCCAGAACTGGGTGTGCCCAAAGGCTCCAGGTTGGAATGAGAGAAATGCCAGTAGCTTTTAATTTTCAGTGTACCTCCTGTGTAATGGTTTTAAAGATCTGTCAGTCCCATCGTAGGATTTGACCATTAAGAACTGCTTCCATTCCCAGATCTTCATTCAGATGTTAATAGATTTCTCCATAACCCAGTATATTCAATAGCTCTTAGTGATCAAACTTGACTTGTTATTTTGAATTAACATTTGGGATTACTGTATTATTGGGAGGAGAGCAGTTAGGTGTTGCCATTTGTCTTCAGTGTAAGGAGTTTGGTAGCTTAGCATGTATTTCCAGAGGCCATCATTGGTTCAACAAAAAGGATTACATATATATTGTACAGAGTCACAGCACAAAGCAAAATGGTATGAAGCAAAACAATGGTTTAGGATTGCTGCCAAATTTACATCAAAGCCCATGGTTCTGTCAATGCGGGAAATTGTGCAAAAATGACAGGCATCCATATACAAATTCACTTTATTTTAGCTGAATCTGTTGGAAAGTTCATCAAGGAACTGCTTTAGTGCTTTTAGCACCACTGCTGCAAACATTTTGTATTCTGGATGTTTTAACTCTTCCTTGCCAAATCCATCTCCCATAAACTTTCCAAAATCCATGGTGCCACTTCTATGTGCTACGAAGTTATATATTATTTATGCAGCCTTGAGAGCTCTTAAAAAAAAACAGACAACCCTCACACAATTCAGTACATTTGTAAATTAAATAAACCTGTGTCAGAGAAACTATACATGGATGTGGTGCTTTTGTTAAGCTGGCAACATTCTTGTATCATACGATTTCCATTCTGAAGATATTCTATATGAATATTCAGAGAAGTATGTGATCCAATCAACAGCTGCATTCCAATCCACATATAAGTTCAGAACCATCTTATTAGGTTGGTATGATTTAAAATGTGGACTGAAATTTTTCCCACCATCCCTACTTCAACCTAACATTTAATTTTGCAATGGTTGATACTGAAGTTTAGGTATGCAAAATATTTAATCCTAAAAATATATATTTTAAATCAACTAGCCTTGTCAAAAACTTGGCTATTGCTTCACTCTCAGAAGAGTAGTCATGAAAGAACAAAGAAAGAACGGTTTTAGGAGAGAGAAATTTCACACAAGGCAGAGGTCAAGAAGAAGGTCAGAGGGCCTCAGAATGGAAGCTTACAGAGATTCTTGAAAAGTCATACAGAACTTTCAAGTTGCTGTTTTAGCTTTACCTGGCAGCTATTCCAACACTGTGAAAATCATGCAAAAGCCTTTATTACTATGTCAGGATAAGAATTTGGCTACTGAAGCTGTCGTGACTAAGGGAAAGAGTGACATTGTTCTGGGCAAATCCAACGCAGGCAAGAAATAAGTTTGCTCCTTGCAGAAAGAAAAGAAGTTTAAAAAAGAAGTTGTGACTGAGGGCGACCAGGGGCAAGAGAAGAGCAATAAAGCAGTAAAAGGTATAAAGAGCAAAATGGTCCCTCAGGTATAATGTCTGTCACCTCATAAAAAGCCAGTGTAGTAAGAGAGTCAGTGTAGCGTATAGGCACTAACTCCTAGGGCCAGAGGTACTGGGCTCCATACTTTGTCTTCTCCTGACGATGTGTGCATGACACGTGTCACGCACATGATGTCACATGTGCACGTGACACTGATCCCCCTCAATATTGTGTGCACGATTGCACTTCTGGTGTGGTGTAGTGGTTAAAGTATTGGTCTAGGGCCTGGGAGCCCAGGGTTCAAATCCCCACTCAGTCACAAAGCTTACTGGGTGCCCTTGGGCTAGTTGCTGGATTTCCACTTACCCGGTTGTGAGAAAGAAAAGGGGAGGAGAAGCTCCATGAACTCCATTTTGAGCTCCTTGAAGGAAAGGTAGGATATAAATGTACAGACCTTCTTCAAAAGGGAAGCACCTGTAAATTCAGTCAGATATGATGCCTCAGGGATAGCATGCTAAATTAAGATAGGTATGACCACTGGAAATTTTCCAGTGGACCCACTGGGTCTCCTCAGTTGCCTAATGAAGCCACACCTGGGAAATGTGGGTTTCTGTAGTTCTTTCTTCACCAGCATTAGCTACTGCCCATCAATGTTATTGCCAGGCTAAGACTTCTGCCTGGGCCACTCTCAAGTGACCTGTACACTTTCCTTTCTACTCAGATTTATCTGGCTCTAATCCCATATCTTACAGCCAACTGTGATCCTTCAGGATTGGGAAAAATGCCAAATAAAAATAAAGGCATCAAGTAAATGGACGATCAAAAGAAGAGGCCAGCTTTAGCATGGAATGCAACCCAGAGACAGCTGAGCATGTTTCACTTCCCTTGAAATTGAATGGAACAAAAATATATTCTTCCACCAAGATTGTGCCTAACTTTTGCTGGATTTTACCCACTGGCAAAAGCATGCTTGGACGCATAGTGTCCAATATTTAACCAAAATATTTATCTGAGAATGTTGGGATCAGATAAATATTTTGGTTAAATTCTTAGATATTGGGAGCCAAAATGAGATGGGGAAGGGGAAAAAAATCAGGTAGAGAAAGTTCCAGTGCTTGGGCAAGGGCACTTTTGCAGGCTGAAGATGTTGTTGTTGTTGTTGTTGTTGTTGTTAACATTACCATCATCAAAGAGTGGCAGGAGCAGTCAAAGGCTCTCCTCATCCTTAAATATTTTTTCCTCCTTTCCCTCTCATTTTGTACTGTTTTTGGGACCGAGTTCCAGGGGCGGAGAGGATCCTCCTCCATGATTGCTGGATGCCGAGTTCGATACATTGTATTCAGCTTGTAGAAGATGGCGAGAATACGACAGGAGACAAATATATGCAGGAGCGGTTAGCTTAATATGCATACGCCTTGAAAGGTCTGAGAGGCGTTATCAGCGCCACTTCTCAATGAATTTAAAAGAAGGTGACAGACTTGCTATTCAGGGTGCACACAATGTTCCACCGGTGATAGATTCCAATCAGGGAGCATCCAGGAAATATTACATGAATGTCACAAGCTGCTGCCAACGCACATTCATTTGTTATACGCTGAATGAGAGGCAGTTTATATTTCAGCAGAGATATAAAAGAGCGAAAAGGAAATATAAATCAAGAGCATTTCTGCTTTGGTAACAGAAAAGTAGATGCTCTTGGGGACAAATGGTTGGAGCTTACCTTTTAGCTCCCTGTGCTTGACAACTCACTGTTTCGATTGCTCTTGAGGCTGCACCATGTGCTTTCAAACCATCTTGCACAGTAACTGCTGATTTAGGGATCTAGTGTTCGCTGGATGCCACACGCCAGAGCTGAAATTACTGAAATGTGTCATTCATGTAGTCAAAGTCTACACTCATCCTGGCTGGGGCATTAATAACACAGAACTGGGGGGGGGGGCTGTGCTACACTCCAGGGTCTTGCATGTGAACCTGCCCCCCAAATAACCCTGGAAACCACCTGCCAGTCAGCATAGACTATCCAGAGCTAGGTGGACCAGTGGTCTGGCTAGGGCTGCATAAGCACTATAAATTTAAAGCATATTAAAAGTGCATTTCCCCCCTCAAAGAATTCTGGGTACTGTAGTTTACCCCTTACAGCATTACAATTCCCAGCAATCTTTAACAAACAACAGTGTCCAAAATTCCCTGAGGGGGGAAATATGTTTCAAATGTGCACTAAAACTATAGAGTGTATGCAGCCTCAGTATAAGATTGTTTCCTACATTCCTGCGTAGGGTGGGAGAGTCAAGTTTCTCCTCCAGTCCCAACAATGCCCCTCTGGACAAAGCCCTTATCCCAGAGATAAATAGCTGCTACATACTCCAGTGGGGAAGTGATTTTGCTTTTGTGAGAAAACATGGGGGTGAGAGCGAAGCATGACCCACAATAATGGCTGATTTGGTTGCCACCAACAGGAACCTAGCAGCTGCAGTATATAGGCTGCCTCTGCCTGCCCCCCAGCCCCTTGCAAGAAGCTGTGTGCTTAGCCACTCCCCTTTCTGTTTTCTACCCATGTCTTTTGTGATGGAAGAAGCAACAGAACAGTGGCTTATGCATTCAGTGGTGGATGAATTATATTGATTAGCATAGGATTCAGTTTGCTACTGCTGAAGATTAGTGAATAATTGCTTCCTGTATTGAATATATTTCTACAACAAGGGATAGGACTAGTCTCCTAGAAAACAAACCCACTCAGCCAGCATTAGTGATCAAACAACATGGCTCTGGTGGCTGAAAAGACCCATACTTCTTCAGGCAGGCTGGGAAAGAATCAAAATACGCGCTCACTTTGCAATTATTTAAAGGCTACATTAAATCTAAACTCAAATGCAAACCAAAATAGAGCCATCTTTTTCCTGCAGTTTTGAAAATCTATGGTCTTTGATAAAGAGACATATTAGAATATACTGTCTGGCACTGAGGTATTAAATATATTAACTAGTCCCCTCTCCCCCCCAAAAAAGTATTTTGCAAAGAAGGATTGTATATTCATATGGAAGTTGAGAATTTTGTCAGGGAAAATATACAGCCTCAGTGAGACAGCCAAATAAATTTATAGTCTACTATGTTACACATGATGGTGAAATGACTTGGCATGGTTTGCATATCATGCTGAAATTTCCTTAGAAGATGTCTAATATATCAAAATAGCTGCATTTCAGTAAGAAAGAAGGCTATTCAATCTGCTCTATGCAGTAACAATATTGAGCCAAATGCCACCCTTTCCATTTGTGTTGCTGATGCAGCATGAAGAGCACCAACTGGAGTGTTTACAAAGTGTGAGAAACAAAAAGTTTTTATTGGTCGCTGTGCTCTCCCCTAAGTTCACCAGAACTCTGCCTCTATCTCAGAGCGACTACCTTTAGGAAATTCTTGATGGTTCCATATTTTTAGTACTACAGTGGTACCTCTGGTTACAAACTTATTTCATTCTGGAGGTCTGTTCTTAACCTGAAACTGTTCTTAACCTGAGGTACCACTTTAGTTAATGGGGCCTCACACTGCCGCCACGCCGCTGGTGCGTGATTTCTGTTCTCATCCTGTGGCAAAGTTCTTAACCCGAGGTACTACTTCCAGGTTAGCAGAGTCTGTAACCCGAAGTGTTTGTAACCCGAGGTGTTTGTAACCCGAGGTACCACTGTACTATTATTATTATTTTAAAATATTGTATATGGTCTTTAAAAGCTAAATTCTTCCAAGGCAGCTTAAAGATAAAAATGTAATACAATCACAATAAGTGTACTTAATTAAAGGCAGCTGAATTATAAGAAGCCCAAAACAAAATAACTAATAAATATATATAAGGAATCTTAATAAAGTTGTCTAACTGGGTCTGCCTTTAAGCACAGTTTGGAAACTTTAGCTTGTTCAGAGTGTGTCTACCAGAGTTAGGAATGGGGGTGAGGCCCTTTGCTCTACCAGCTGCACTGAATTTGGGTGCATTTCTGAGCCCCATTTTAAAGTGCTGGCTTTAACCTTTATACCATTATAAATGGATTGAACCCAAGCTATTTGTTGGACCACTACACACATATCATCTTGCCTGCATGCTGAGATCTGCATCCAAGGTTGTTTTGGTGTGTCCACTGCCTAGATTAATAATGATGAACAGGCAGATGTGAATCTCATAAGGGCAGAGAAGAGATCACTACCGCCATCACATGTTTTGACTAGGGACAGGTGAATCTGTCAGCTTGGGTTTCTCTCAGTTTTTCACACTGATGTTTAGTTCTCTGTACCAGTTTGCATTTTAATGTATATTTTCCCTTAGGATGTGCATTTTTGTACACATTACTTGGCTGGAGAACTGCATTTTGTTTTGGAAAGTGTAAATTAGGAAAATTCACCTAAAATGCAAACTGAATCAAATTTCACCCCCATGTCTACTCACAGCCTCTTTGAGAGTCAATGGCAGCCCTCTCCCCTCCTCTTCTCAAGCTGATATAGAATCCCATAGTTAGCTATGATGAAACATTCTAGAATTCACAATTTTCTGTATTTGACTTGAAGCTCCAGAAGCAACATGTTCTTGAGGGCTCATGTGAATATTGCCTTGCATTTGATATCCCTGAGGATTTATTCCTGTGATAACAAGACAGAAAAAAAGCTTCCAGAGAAAACTTAGTAATATAAAAAAGGTTAACCTATTCTATGTAACAGGGAGAAGTTGAAATACCTTCATTTCATAACAACACTCTTAACTTCAAGACATGAAAAAAGTTTAATTTTTTTAACCTACTTTGTGAGTCTGACTTCTGCCACAGTCCAATAAATGTATGTGTTTGATGTGTGCAAATACATCTTTGTACACGAAACATTTTCAATAGGGATACTGCAGAGCTTTTCCAAGTGAAGAAAAATTAACCTATAAAATTTTAAGTGCTGAAGTCAGAGTTTAAGGCACAGGACTTTGCGTGTTCAAGTATTTATGTGCTGAAGATATCTTCTGAAGCATTGGTTGTTAAGTCATGAAATAGAATAATGAAAACAGCAATTTTAAGACTAACCCCCCTTTTTTATCCTTATTACGCAATTGCCTGATCACAGCATCATATTTAAAAGTGCCATAAAAAGTTCCATTTTAAGCTTTAATAGGAAACTCGTTTGTATTTCTTCCTTCAGACCCGACCAACAGTGGTTGGCAAGGAGGGAAATTTCACATTAATGTTTGCTTCTAGGACACGTACTACTTTGTAGATTCAACAATTTACAGTGCCCAAAGAATAAAAAGACTCCATATAGGTTTTTGTAACTATGTTAATAACTTAGAAGCTGTTTTTATACCAAAGGCCAGATGTTCTCCAGAAATCAGGAAGGCTACTGATGATACAATGAAATCTATCCAAGAAAAACATACAGCAGCAATAAGAAAACAAAACAAAAACAAAAAATCCCAGGAAAGGAGGAACAAACACCAAGAGCTACTCCTTTCAATGCTCTTTTCTCTTCAACTCTGACAAACAGCCTGAGGGGCGGGGCAAACTAAAGGTGGTCTGATGGCCACACCCCATGCATACACTTTGCATGCAAAAGGTCCCTGAAGGATCCTCCAGTACTCAGGAGTTGATTTTCAAGGGGGACAGGGGGCTGCATAAGGAAAGAGGACGTAGGAAAGGCATTCGACTCATCTAATGGGAGTTAAGAAAGGGCCATAGCTTCGAGCGCATGCTCTGAAAGTAAAAGGTCCCAGAGCTGATCCTTGGCATCTCCAGGAAGGGCTGGGAGAGGCTTCTGTCTGAAACCCTGGAGTGCCTGTGTGAGTCAGTGTAGGCAAAACTGAGCTATATGGATGCTTCCTGCCTTCCTATTCTGGGTCCAAGCAGCCACATGGCAAAGCCAGGGTTTTTGTTGGGGGGACAGGACTTCTGTTAGGAGAGCAGAGCTGACATGACTGGTCAGTTAGTTAAATACACTAGTGGCCAAAATTGTGGAAATCTTTTGGGGAAAGTGTATTTCTGAGGTTTGATGGCTCATAACACCACTTTTTTTTTGGAGTAATACCATAAAATTATATATCAATGGAAAGATAATTTAATGAAGAATGTAATGCAACAAAGTTTGTTCAGTTATTGGTATTCTATTAAAAAGTATAGCCAAATAACCAGAAAAAGGAAGCACAACTTGCTTAGGTTGATATGCAGTAGCTATCCTTCATTTGAAGGTAGCCAATGAGCATGAGTGTTTAGAGAGCCAGTCAGGTGTTATGAGCCATCAAACCTCAGAAATATACTTTTCCCAAAGGTTTCCACAATTTTGGCCACTGGTGTATTTCTATTGTTTTACTTGATTGAGGGGGTAGGGGCAGCTACACCCATGACCAGCCATACTAATTGCAGAAAGATAGAACCAAGATTAAATAAATGTTTCATGATGGGCTAGCATGGGTTTCCTCTGCCAGTTTCACAGGAAAGGCTCCTCCACTAAATAAGCTATGCTCCTTGCCCTAACAGATCTAGCTTCACATAGGACCTAAGAGGTGGGGTCAGGATGTCCATAAAGGAGAAGAGGCTCCCAGCCCATCAGACAGGTTGTCCACAGGTCTGATCATTCTAATTCTTTCAGTTTGAAGGTAGCAACTTTCCCTCAGCATTGGCACAACAGCATCCATCAATACTGATATTCGAATGCTTTAGAATGTGGCTCAGCTGAACTATGTGACCTTTTAAGAATGAGAATGGTTTTTAGCAGAAACTCATCTGAAGCTGAATCACCAAAGGCATTTGTGCAAGCTTCAAAGATTCAGAAAAGTGAGCTTTAGGGGCATGAAAACAAGAAGAATCATTTCAGGGTACCATTCCTTTTCGTTGCTGTACGGCTTGGTCAGGCTCATGGCAAAATCCTAGTGATTTCACCACTCAGAATGGAATTTTCTGAAAATCTCTATGTTGAGCATCCCCACACAGATTTTTTTCTACTGTATTTTTCGCTCCATAAGGCGCACCGGACCATAAGGTGCACCTAGATTTTAGAGGGGGAAATCAAATCTCCCAGAGCTTCTCAGGGCTGCCAGGGGAGGCCTGGGTTTCTCCCCCAGCCCCAAAGAGCAAAGAAGCCAAGACAGCGAGCGGGATCCATCCTGCTGGCTGTCTTGGCTTGTGCCATAGCCGATCGCAGCCTCTCCCAGCTGGAGAGGTTGTGCGGGGCTAAAGAGGAAGTGCACGGCTATGGCACAAGCCAAGACAGCCAGCAGGATGGATCCCGCTCGCTGTCTTGGCTTCTTTAGCTGTGTGCAGCCCCTCCGGCCGGGAGAGGCTGCACGCGGCTATGGCAATTCCCCCACCTCCCGCAAAAGTCCACAGGAGCTGTGCACCCTTTAAGGAGCGCACGGCTCCTGCAGGCTTTTCTACGAGGAGAGAGAAGGGTCTGACTGGCCGCGTCAGTCCCTTCTCGCTCCTGGGGAAAAGCCCGGAAGAGCCGCGCGGAGCTTGTGTGCGGCTCTTGGGGGCTTTTCCTGCCTGCCTCCCCCCTGCATTCGCTCCATAAGATGCACACACATTTCCCCTTACTTTTTAGGAGGGAAAAAGTGTGTCTTATGGAGTGAAAAATACGGTAATTCCCCTCTCACTCTTTATCTCAACAGAAAGTGAGTTATTTTCCCTCTGGTTCTGCTGAAAATGCAAACAATTATCACATATTATTATACACATCGATGCACACATTATTTCTGCCATATGTATTATACATCTATTCTTGTGTATAATTTTGTGCATAATTAGTCAGACTTTTTTGACCCCTCGGGCATGAGTGTGTCTAACCTAAGCAGGCACTGACTCAATGCAAGAGGTGGCCTGATGCAGGCAAAACTCAATCAGGTCGGAACCACCCATTTTGCGTATAAATCAGTTTAAAACAGATCTGTCATCTATCCCTATTCACCACATATTCATTGGCATTCGTGCCATTTCAGCAGTTACATCTTAGCACTCATTTCAGGATGAGAAGAAAGGGAGCAGAATGGGGATCGTTTGGTTTGGAATCCCATTCATTCCCAAACATTGCTTGTATGTGGGCATCTGGCTGGCCACTGTGAGAACAAGACACTGGACCAGATAGGCATTGGCCTCTTCCAGCAGGACTCTATTAGGTTCTTAAATGAGATTGTCTTCTCAACACTGGTGCAAGAGAGCACTGATGTTTCATAGTAGTCAGCGTCCTCTTGCTGCTTATTTTGGTCTGGTCCCCCTGCTGCTTATTTTTTAATGCCTCTCCACAGATGCAATACAAACTTCACCTTAGGCCACAGGAGCTGAAGCAGCAGCATAGAATGAAGCCAGTAGACTATATTTGTCTTTCAAAACTAACTATCCACTAGGGAATTTGGAATAGGTGATCCTGTCTTAGTGCCCATTGTTTGATCAGATGACCTTCGGGTCCACAGCAAGTCCTCACAATTCCCTTATTCCACAATTTTCACAAAACGTTTTTTGATAAGCCTACCCAGACCGAAGTCATCTCTTTTTCTTTTCTTTTTTTCAATGGCTGAGGTCACAGTTTTATTTTAGGCAGAGGTTTTTTGTTTGTTTGTTTGTTTATTCTAAAATAGTAGGTTTCAGGGTTTTGTTTTATTTTTTAAAAAATCACAAAATGAAAGAATGTGTTTTCCATTGCATCACGACTGCTCAGATGGCATTTGTGTTTCTCAGGGGAAACCAATCTCTTGTGAAGGACACTGGATGTTTTGCCCAGGGTAACATCCTTCGCCTGCAAGGCACTGTGCGCAACCTGAGTCAGTCCATGAAATTCATCACACACAAGCAAGCAGACAATGAAATGAAAAGCATTCATCTGAAACCAAAGACCAGATGCTTCCATGGTAAGCTTTCAGCATGGTTCACTTAATCCTGTCAAACCCTTTATGATGGCAGGAAAAGAGAGAGTATGTACGTGTGGGTGCGTAATACTTTTTATTCTTTACAAATAACCACCTACTGGAATTTTAGGTCTTGCCCACCACAAATGACTTTGTTTTTGAAAATATGCAAAGTTTTTGTTTGTTTGTTTGTTTTTACTGGGCCATCTTTCAAAGAGATAAGAAGACTAGGCATGGTGTTAGCTGTATACAGGGCCTTAATGAGGTAAAATGGATAGGAAGATTGATCTCAGCCACAAAGAAAGCAGGGAGTTCCCGCTAACTTTCTCTTTCTTTCTTTTGGGAACATGGACATATATCCATTGGCCAGCAGAAGGGCATATTAGAGAAGAGACGGCATCTTTCTGTATTGGAAATTAATTTAAATAAGAAGCAGCCTCTCATTTTACATACTCCTCTGCTGACCAATGTATTTCTGTTTCAGTTCTAAAGGTAAAGGTACCCCTGACCATTAGGTCCAGTCGTGGATGACTCTGGTTTTGCGTGCTCATCTCGCTCTATAGGCCAAGGGAGCCAGCGTTTGTCTGCAGACAGCTTCTGGGTCATGTGGCCAGCATGACTAAGCCGCTTCTAGCAAAACCAGAGCAGCGCACGGAAACGCCGTTTACCTTCCCGCCGGAGCAGTACCTACTTATCTACTTGCACTTTGACATGCTTTCGAACTGCTAGGTGGGCAGGAGCTGGGACCAAGCAACGGGAGCTCACCCCGTCGTGGGGATTTGAACCGCCAACCTTCTGATTGGCAAACCCTAGGCTCTGTGGTTTAGACTACAGCGCCACCCTCATCCCTCGTTTCAATTGTTACTTATTCCTGAATCACAATTTATTAAAATCCCAAAGAAAAAGTCAAGATTAAGTAAGAGAAAAACATAGGTTGTATTAAACTAAAAACAAGCAATATAGTCTAAGTCATTCGCGGAATGTAGATCCTGAAATGTATTATTATGACCACTCCTCTTCCTACTACTATTTTGACATGTTTCTTGAGGTCCCACAATAGGTTACAATTTTATTAATATCAGTTAAAACAAATTGCAGCTAGGAGAGCAGAACAGGTGCTAAAATATAAGTATCTCAGGTGGCAAGGAACCTGCTAAAGACATGCATCTTTGGCGTAGGATGAAAACTAAATAATGAAGGTGCCAGATGCATCTCTGTAGGGAGGGAATTTCAGAGCTGGTAGATTTTCACTCTATCTCACTCATCAGCTGGCATTGTGGGTTTTCTCAGGTTTCACACATAAGTTTTGGGAAACAATTGCCTCCTGAATCACTGTCCAGCAGGAAAGAGCCAAGGAGAAAATATCATGCTGTGCGTAAGTCCAGCTCTATATGTGCTTTGCTCATTTCATTCTGATGGGAGGAAAGACTGAAAAGAAACAAAGAATTGGAGCTTTGCTTTGTTACAGCATCAAACCATGATGTTTTAAAATAGCTGCATTGATTGCCAATTCATTTCTGGACCCAATTCAAGGTGCTATCCCTAAATGACTAATTTCCCAAACATCTGAAAGTCTGCTTCCTTCCCTACAGATCCTCTTGGGTGCTAATATCATCAGGAGTGGCTCTTGATAGTCCCATTGTGACGGACAGATCATTGAGTCATCATCCTGGAGACCCTTAGGCAATCATGGCAGAGAGGAGAAATGGCCAATCAGGAAACAGGGAGATTGACAAAGAGAATTTGACAGTTTGACTGGCAGAAAGGGTCTGGCTACAGAAGTAGCTGCTGTGCTTAGGGTTTTGTCAGGCAAGATAAACCTGTTTAATTTCCACAGTTGTAGGGGATGGACCTAGAAAGGGGCTAGATGTGCTTTTACAGGAAGAATAAAAGCAGATTGCCATTCTAGGAGGAGATAGTTTTAATAGAAACAGTTCTGTTGCAGAGTATTGTAAGTAAAATTCTTGTTTAAACCTGAATCAGCATTTCTGACAGAAGATAAGAACTATGCCTTTAATAGTGAAACCATCAAATTTTATCACTCATAAAAATAGGTGTTTTGTTTCCATCATGCCTCAGCTTTAATTTATACCTAGTTGATGAAATAAGTTGCCACAGGAATATCAAGAGTCATGGCTGTAGTTTTATATTATACACTATCACATATGAAGAACCCCCTGAATTCTGGATTATTTTAGACATGGAGTGTCCAAGGTTAAATCACCCCAGACTTGGTCATGTTGCCCTGCTCCCACCTTCAATGGGTGTGTGTGTGTCACATCCGCCACCCACAGGAGTCCAGGGGATTGAAGCCCCATGACAGCCCATAAACTTTGGGATTCCCCTCATGCACAGGTATGTCTGGAAGCTTCTTTGTGTAGTTTCTGTCCTCTGCTCAAGATGCGCCTCTTTGCTCTGGCATTTGACACTTTAGATATATATTTTAGGACCCACCCTATTATCTTGATCATAACCTGCTTTAGCTGTTTTTAGCATTGTATGGTGTTGACAATAATTGAACTTCCAGCAGAATCTTTGGGCTCTACTGCTCTTCACACTATGATTCCTAGGCTCCCTTTCTGGTTTGGAGCAAGCAACGGATTGCTGATTTGGATGACATGAGGATAGGCAAATCTGCCTATTTGAGTTTCTCTCTGTTTTCCACATTTCCACATCAGTATGCAATTTTCTCTACAAAAGGCAAGTTCTCATGAAAATTCAGCAGCATTTTACTATGTTTTTCTCCTAAAATACACAACACGGTATGCAATTTTGCCCAATATGCACATTATTGCAAAGCAATTTCCCCTTATATAATGCATTTCATATGCTATTTTTATGAATATATGCAATTGTATGTGTAAACGCATTTCTAGTAAATCCTAGTAAATGCATTTCTGCACACATTTATTGGCAGGAAAGTTACACTGTAATATTCAGAGATGTGTAAATTTTGAATTTTGAAGGATGGGTCTGTTTCACTTCATTAGGTAGGCTTGGCTAGAAATGTACCGTAAATTAAACCCAGTGTCCCCTATCCCCCCATCCCTAGGATGAAATGGCGAGCTATGGTTTTCCTCAAACCATTGAGTAAGAGAGAGAATCATAGTGTACAAAAAGAAAAAGAGAAAGAGTACCCAGGCCTCAGCATCCTGCCAGGCTTAGTCATGTTTTGTTTTGGTGTTATATCTGAACCTGCGAATAGCCTGCCCCGAATTTGTCATTTTGTGCATCCTTCTTCTTTGTCTTATTCATTTAGGACCAACCTTTCATATGCACTTGTTTCAGATTTGGCTGCTTAGGTACTGATTTCTAAAAGCAAAATATTTATTTACATTATGTATCTCCTTGAGTAAATTGCCTTCTTTCAGTTCAAACATCCAGC